CAGAGATGCTCAGTTCGCTTTTAGTTAATGCGCACGCTGTGAATTTTTATTGTTCAACAATGTACAGGAGACATATCCCACCAGTGCTACCTAGGAGGTCAATATCTAGTGCCTATGTATACGGTGTGGCCAGTGAATGATTGTACAGTGCAAGCAGCCGGTTTCATCAATTAAGAAACTCACTAGCAGACGCTGCCTGCATCAGTGTTACTAGGTGAGAGAGGGAGAGGAAGCATGCATGCGCAATGGCGGTGTAAACGTCATGGGAGGAATGCCAAGAGCAGAGAGAGGGGGGAGTGAGCATAATTTGGCAGAGGCTCCCTGCGTCGACGTTGGGAGGCGAGAGAGGGGTAGTATAGGAAAGGAGAGAAGGGGGAAAGAACGCGCATATGCACGAAGGATCGTCACGCCACACACCGGATTGAGCTCGACCCTAAGCTGCTTCACATCTAAAAAACACGACATACCCACAATGTGAATGATAATGAGCGGGCATATCAGTGGGATCACTCGGTGTTACAGTGAATCACCCGCGATATTGACTAGCCACGCATATAAATGAGTGCCAAGTGGTGTAGAGTTACATACAATGTTTATTGGTCATAACTAGTATGTTGTGTTGAGCTGTGAAATTTCTTTTGCCATCATTATTACTGCTTTTTGGTATCAGATCTAGCCTGAAGTTTGCGAAGACCAGTTCTGGCTACTGTTACAACTCGCACCGCCACCGACCCTGTTGCATAGTGCACCGAGGTCACGGGCTGTCAAAGTTGTTTGGTAGCGCATTTCTGTGCAGAGCTAGATGGACAAGCACACAAGACGACGGTGAGTTAAGGCAAGATTTATGTACAGCATAGAATAGAGGCATTACATATTCGGCACTGGGGCCGACAACTTAGGGACTCGAAGAGCCGAGATGTCTTCGCATGCTCTAATGCTGTCGTTTTCTCTCTGACGCATAGGTCGGCTGCTTTGCATCGTGGCGCTTGGTTCTCCATAAGCCCTGGGTGTTTCCTTACGTCAGCAACGTCAGCTCAGAACTGTCGCTGGTGGCATCAGCATCCTCAAATCGAGAACTGCCGCTGGGCTGCATCCGAATCCTCGGAATTACCACACTGGATTGCATCCATGAGCGAGTGGTTTTGCCACGCATTGCGTAAGACTTGCCAAACTGGACGGTGCCGATTGCATCATCGGGCTGCCATGGGGCCGGTGCGTGGAGAGAGCTTGCCATGCGTTGCGTGATACGGATCGGCACCACTGGGCTAGATGACGTTGTTGAGGTGATGCCGTCAGGAGGGCTCGCTTGCTGGCCTTGACAGTGGTTGCCTTTGCAGAAGCAATGACGTTCGGTCTGAACTCCCAGGCATAACAGCCCGTTCACCTGGTGGTTGTTTCCAGTCATACGAAATGCATTGTAGAGCATAATGCAGACGTTACCTACTGCACAAGCCAGTCTGTGATCATCATTGTCATCAACTTTGCCATGATCGCCGTCGTTTTGACGTATACAGTGAAATCTTGGTATAACAAACTTCAAGGGGCTGCGGCAATTTGTTCGTTATTTTGAAAGGTCGTTATAGTGAAAGCCCAGAAGTTAACCATAAGTAGTTAATTTCCCTTGAACAAAACGACTTACCTTTACAACGGTGCGTTCTTGAACTCGTTTTTCACAATAAAAAACCAATGCACAAGTGAACACTAAAAAATGCACATTTACTTTTTTTATGCGTGCAGCGGGAAGGCCTCCAGCTCATTCACATTCCCGTGGTGCGATTCGGTTCTTTGGTCACAACAACCTGCTTTTTGCCTTCCAGTTGCCGATGAGTATCCACTTTCTCGCTTAGCGATAACTGCTTCCGTTTCTTCGTCACAAGCACAGAACTCATTTGTAGTAGCACCACAGCACAAACATTGACTTGTTTGCGAACGCGATAAGTAATCAGCGAAAAGAGGTGGACACGATTGACAAACAAGGCCTCCTAGAGCACATGTAGAAGTGATGAAGAAAGAAAAACTTGGAGCATCGCGGCTGTCATCGCCTCTTCTGAAGAAAAACAAAGTGCTAAAAAAGAAAATTCCTCACATTTCGTTTTCTGTTATCTCGCTGTCTCAGGTTTTCTGCGTCCATGCTTCCTGCTCCGCAACTCGCACTCTGCTTTGCTGACCTTGCCCTCCTTTGTTGCCCTCGCCCCTGCGCTTGTAAGTCCGCAGCGTCGGCGTTTCAACAAAGATAAAGAAAAGAAAGTCACCTTTTCGTTTTTTTTCCCCCCTCCACACCGTCGCGCGTTTTAAGAGAAACAAGGCGTCTGTTTACTTTGTAGTCTGCTTGCGTACGCTGTCGTGGTCGCGACAAATTTTAGAACATGAGTTCGTAGTACTAAGGCAATAATATAACACGGCACTAAATTAACGCTCGTTATTCTGTAAAGTTCAATGTTCTGAAATACGTAGTAGTGAAATAACTTATATTAAAACTATTAGCAGTCAGTGCGAGATTTTTAAAAGTTTGTTAATCTGAAAAGTTCGTTATTGTGGGGTTTGTTCTACTGAGATTTCACTGTAGCGGGTACCTTGACTTTGCATGTAGTGCCGTGATGGCAGAAATAGAATGTGTGGTCTGGAACGCACTTGTTCTTCATCGTCATCGTTGTCATAGGTGCTACAGCGCACAATGCCAATGGACAAGCTTTGACCTTAAAGGGACACTAAAGAAAGTAAACGAATTTTAAAATAGCCGTCCAGAAACCTCGTAGCATTACTTTTGTGCCAAGGAAGGGCTCATTTTGAAACAAAATCATGTTTTAGAGGTCCGAAGCAACTTAGCTTCAAAGTCCGACATCACTGTTGCTATGAACAACGTTGCCTAGCTTTAATGTGCGGTCGCTGACACTATAGTAGCAGCAAAGAGAAAATAGCGAGAGCCACTGCAGCAATAATGGCCATTCAACCATTTTTAGCCATGGCCTTCGAAATAGCAGGCGTGATTGGTCCAACTGGGCCCCGCAAGACGGCACGACCTGACCTGTTTAACTATGCAAAAACTGAATTTTCGAGCCACTCGTGCCTTTCCCTATTTCAACGTCCAGTGGTCCTTTTTTCCATGAATAAAACAGAAACAAACAAGCAGCATTTCATTGCATCTCTTGATGCACGTAACATTCTTTATTTAGTGCAGCTATATCGATTACTGATTACTAGCGATTATTTGTAGGCAGTTTGTCTGATGTCATCGGGACCATTTTGAGAAAGTCCTACTGTGGTGCATGTATTCTTGTGCATTTACCTTAATTTCTCGGTAAGTAGGTCACTTCTGTCGCCAATATTTAAATATCACCTCATTATCATGCTGTTCAAATCCTTGCACCATCTTGTCCCATCAAGCGTCTTTTATCCTAATGCTTTGTCTAACTTAAACCGTACTAGATTCGCTTCAAATGGAAATTTTCTACTACCTACTATCCGCACTAATTTTGGTCGCCACACTGCATATTTCTCAGCATTATCATTATGGAATTCATTGCCATCTCACATCAAGCAATGCTCGACTATTGGCACATTTAAAAAACAATTGTATTCGTACTTGATAAACTACAAGATGTTTTTATCTTGTTATATTGTTTATTCCACTCTTCTTTTTACTTGTTTCTTAGTTAGTGTTGGTTTTATCAATTTACTCATCTCTCTGTTTTCACTGCTACTGCTAATTGAGTAAATTTTGTAATCCCATTTTGAACAGGAGGTCCCCCTGCAGCCTTGTGCTTTAAAACCTCCTCCTGTGTATATACTTTGTATACTGTTCCTTTTTCTGTACTAATAACTGAAAATAAACTGAACTGAATATTCTCGTTTTAGACATCCTACATTGAGCATTTACTCGGACATAATTTGTTATTTGACTTCAGTGTCCCTTTAAAGAGCTTCGCCTTTAAAAAAGTAAGTAAACATAACAGAGGAGAAGACAGGAGAGTGAAAAAATTGGCCCCGTATCTCTATGTTTCACTGCAAATGTCATCGAAAGACGATAATGTTGCGTGTGAAGAGAGTGAACAAAACGTTTATTTGATTTTCTGCAAGAAAATCAGTTAATTGTATTTTGGAAGCACTGCATAATACAGTCTCGATCCGTGCAGCGAAAGGGAACGAGTGCATCGAGGCATATTAGACACGAGTGCTATCTGGCAGTTATCTTCGAAAACGAAGGAAGGCATGCCCGCCAGCAGAGAAAGATGTACGCCTGTCTCGGAGGCGATAAGGTGTAGAACGCAAAGCAATGGGCAGGTGCCACCACCATGTCGTCTTAGCAAAGCGTTGGAAACACTTGCCTTTTCGAGCATTACATTGCATTGTCAACACAGCATGATAAACACTACGGTCCTTAAATCCTTAGAATTACTTATGTGTGGCTTTTCTAGTAACACACATACAAAATATTGGCATGTTGTTATAGTGCCTCAGATATGTGCAATAATTGCTTTTTAATTGACAATCGCAAAAGCATGAATGCTGAAACTTGAGCAATATTGGTGGGTGCTGTGGATGAGGTTGGCCATTAAGGGTATCGCTTGTGCTGTTTGAAGTATCGTTACGGTAGATAAACATACAAAATTTTCGCGTCGAAGTAGCCTGAGAAAGAAGACAAAGATGTGATGGGAGAAAAAAACAGGAAACTGCCGGTTGCCCATAGATGGGTTGGCCCAGGGTTGCCACTTACGTAAAGCCAGGGCAAAAGGGGCATGCTGCCTCTGCCAGGGGACCTTAAAGGTCCAAACACTGAGTTTGGGATATACCTAGGGACGTCCTTTTCCCTAGAAATGGCTAAGCAACACGTGGCGAGGCATAGGAAAGAGTTGACACTCATTCCTGTAGGCTTGGGTCGGTAGTGAAGCCCAGACACCTGCTTGCACAGACAGATGCCCCTGACAGGCTCTCAAAAAAGGCTGCCAGATAACAGTGCAGTGTAGACAAGGTAGCATGCTTTTCTAGAACAAAGCAAGCACCTGTATAGACTTCCCATCGATGATGTCGAGTGGATCAAGGACATTTCCAAGAGACTTTGACATCTTACGCCCTTCCGAGTCTCGGATCATGCCATGTAGAAGCACCTGTAGAGAAAAAAAAAAAGAGAACAATGTGTCTGGCCATTTAAATTAAACCTTTGTATCCTACAGCCTATCCAGTTGCACACATCAATTTTTTCTCCATATAAAATTATGATACATACTAAAGTAGAAATAAACTAGAAAAAATGCAAATTTTAGCTTTGCTTTTACGAGAAAGTGAGTGCCCACTTATGTGGACACTAAAACACCACTCACAGTAGATCCATCATCCTTGTTCATCATACATAGAAACTTCTTTTGAGCGGCTGTGTTCCTTTGCATTATTAATTATATCATCACTACTTATCATAATCAACACCTTCAAATCAGTTCAATGTGTTCATCATAAAATTTATCATCATCAAAAACAATCATGTGGGTGCTGTTAATGGCTCTGATTCAACATTTTCATCATCATTAGGGTTGTGGGAATATTCGAAAGCTTCGAATATTCATCGAATACTGCAGTTGTAATATTTGTATTCGATTGAATAACCACATATTAAAAAATTTCGAATATTCCAACTAGCTCAAATATTCCTGAAATATTCGATGTTCCCGAATATTCGTTCGCATATGTCACTGTGAAGAACTTACGATTTTGCGCATTTGCGATAAGAGCCTCAGTAGGTCATGCAGTGATTACTACGACTTCGGCGCATGTGCGGTGATGCCTGTATGAAAATTCACTGGAGCATGATGACGGCTACCGACGAATGCGGCGGCACGTGATCGGTACATGCGATCTAAATCTGAATCAAGCGATGAATCTAAATCATGCACTGCCTGCATCACAGTACGTGTGGCTTAGCGGTTTAGCGCACGCCGTCTGCTGCCGCACCTTTGTGTGCGGGACCGCAAGTGCGTATCGCTCGTGGAAACGAAGGCAATTTTGCCGCTGCTGCATTGACTCGACAAAATAGTCTTCACACCTTTGCTGGGTTCCTTACTGCGAGCACGAAGGAAAAAAAAGTCAGTTTTGCCGCAAGGGTGAAGAAATGAATGTGATAGCAACAATTAAATACCTTGGAATGTAATGCTGACAATGGCTAGCATATCGAAATGTGTGGCGTGTTGCTCACAAATGGCACACGAAAACAACACACACAGGATGAAAGCTAACTAACAATGTTTACAGCTTGACACTTAATGTGCTGTTTAAACAAAAACGACGCACGGAACATAATCACAGGTACGGATATTAGTTATTATTTCGCTGTGTTTGGAAAGCGCGCTTTTTTCGTAAACGGGGCCTGCCCAGTGAGCGAAGTGACCTTTCTGGCCCAGGCAACTAACCCAATCGTTCCGGTGAAAGGCCAGGGCACACGATTCTTCCTACGGAAGGATAAGCACACGCGTACAAGCACCTAACCCTCCCCCCCGCCCCCATTCGTGGGGCAAAGTACGCGTGGAAGATAAGCACGCGTTGGCGCATCGCGACGAGCTGAGCGCCGAGCAAAGGTGGATCAACACTTGGCGTGCCAAACGAACAAGCACAAATTTGCAAAGGCCTCAGAAGTGCCGAAAACAAGACAGGGACCTAACAACGAGAGGTTTCAAAACGAGAGACTTCACATATCGTGTTGTACTGCTATTGTTACATGCACTGCATTGCTGGGCTTGTAAACCCTTTGTCGGTTCACCTACATTTTTTACATCCCAAAAAATAAGCCTGTGGAATATCCAAACAACATACTTGAAAATAGTATGAAACAAATTTCACCAAAATATGACATTAGTTTATGAGAAAAAAAGTGGGACGTATGTGTCCCATTGACCCATGAGGGGTCTTAGGAAAAGTGGAACAACACCTGCCCCATTGCCTCCATAACTGCCCCAAGCTGCAATCCTTTCGCCAAATTTCATGCACGAAAAGGCTTAAAGTGATACTCAAGGGCACTTCATAAACTGTGCAAAAAAAAACTCTGGCACTACTTATTTGTGGCTTTGGTACAAAATGTGCACATGTAGCTTTGTAGGGCCTCTTCGCATACACCAACCATTTTAGCTTTCTGCCTCTTCTGTCAATGTAGGTAAGGAAAAGCATCTAAGCTATTCCTGAACTACCATTATATATAAAGTTGCAGCTAAGAATAAAAACAAACCACATCAATTTAGTGTCCCCAAATACACTGAATCCTGTGAATGTATTCATTAACCTTATCCATACCTGAGGTACTAAGATAGTTTTCTCCTAGATCTTGTATATTGTGTTCTCTTTCACTTCCTGACTGTCTAGATCATTGATCTAAAAAAACAATATCTAAGCCACAGCTTTTGATCTCATTGCCCCTAGTACCATTATAAAAAAAGAAAGGAACCAAAATGCATTTTAACACCTTCCCCACCAAAAGCGTGTTTTGTAATGTAAGAGCGTCCAAAAAACTACAAAAAACATTTATGGGGGCCTCTTTTGTTGTCATGTTTAGCATGAAACTAGCTCATTTTTCATTTGAGTTCGCTTCGACATGACTATTGGACGATATATTACTAATACTTTAAAAGCAAAGTCTATAGATTAATGCTAGAACTACTTTTCAAAAATTCAGGAAAGGAGAAAAATACCATCAATTGATAATTTTAGCTGTCTTGCACACAATGAAACAACAATTGTAAGAAATTCTACAGAGCAAAACTAATTTGAACTCAGCATATTACCGACACCAATAATTGTAAACGTGTGAAATATTTTCTCTGGTTTACTAAATGCGTCTACACATGGCAGCATAAAATCACAGAGGTGATAATGATGCACTGTGGGGGAGGTTACTGAAGATAAAGTGGGACAGATTCAAGCCATTATGTCTCAAAGGGTTAAGCCACTAGCAGGGAGGCAGTTTTTCTTGCAAATGGGGCGACCTGTACCTGAACTTGCGAACGTACCTGATTGTATCGCTAATGTGCATGATAGAGAACATCACTTCCGCTCTTAGGCAAACCTAGTCTCAATTTCCAAGCAGCAATCCATTAAGAACCAATTGCTCATATGGTGCAAAGTTTCATTTGCTGTACAGTGCTAGAGATCGTTATGATCGTCAGTTGTCCCAGGGTTTTATTTTGCAACATTTAGGTGGTCCTAGAATTTCAACATACCTAATGACAACATTGTTTTCTCTCATTATCAGAACTAGCTGGCTGACTGACCTCTGCCTGCCAGCGAGATGTCACAAGTTATAAAATCAAAGATTTGCTTTTTTTAAATAGAAATAGCTGTTTTTGCCCATGCATCTCAATATGAGCTTTTCAGCCTCAATGTTTCCTAGATTCAAATCATACAGTTTCCCAGATTGTACGATTATTTTTTCAAAGTTCTTTTTTTACAAAAACAAATTAAGGAGGTCCTACTGCACTTCTGGCAGTCACAGGTTATGCATAATACTTAATAAAAGCATGGAGTTACACCCAACTTCGAAAAGACCCAGGCCCCACAGAGCAATCTGGAGATTCGGTCAGTTATCGGTAGTACTGACATTTGTGCAGAAGGACTTAGATGACCTTGGTCAAATCTACACAGAGGCAAAATCACCCTGCTAGCTTCGGGACGGCAACACAGCCCATGCACCAGTCTGTCCGTTTACGAATGCACTTGATCACGTTCCTCCAGCTCTATTTTGTCAAGCTCCTTTTTGACTACATCTCACAGGGGTATCGAGATCCACCGAGCTATGTTAAGAGAATACGGTATCTCGTCAGATTGATGCGGATCATGTACTCCTCTGGAAATGTGCCCAGGCTTGCAAAAACGGCTGGAGGGACTTCTTGAGGTGGTGTGTTCAGCAGGCCTGGTGTGATGGCGCCAACCAACTTAACAAAACCAAGGGCAACGATAGCGGGATAGCTGAGAGAGGGGCTACTCTTGTGCTGCAGCAACGTAGAGGCACTCCTTGACTTGCCTGCCTCTTCGAGACAGCACCGCAGCAAAAGTGACGAGAAGCTTCAGGAACTGTTTCCCAGGTCTGAAAAGTTCCTCGCTTAGTCGTTTATCAAAAACGGCTCGGTAGCCAAAAATAGTGCACAAAACCACCAAAACGTCAGCGCCAGAGTCCACCTTGAAGACGAGAAGGCACCCCTTGACCCACACTTCAACGTACCACCCATCCCAAACTATTACTGCAATGAAGTGGAGCTCCCGAGTTCCAAGCATCTGGGGCGAAATGCTGACACAAATGGCCTTGCTTCTTGCAGTAGTTACAGAATACTTTGGCAGTTGAGCTGTCGTCAGGGCATCTGTGAACCTCATGACCCCAGAAATGGCATTGCTTGCCTTTGCCACATCTTGTAGCAACGCCTCCTCAAGAAAGAAGAGAGAGAGTGGTTTGGGGAAAAGGGAAGAGAAAAAAAAGGATGTTATTTTCTGCCTCCTGTAGTGGTGGCAAGGCTCAGCACCTTTGGGGATAGAGAAGGAGAAGTAAACATAGGAAGAAGAGAATATAGAAAAGAGTGAGATGTATAGCACGGTAGTGTCTTGTCAGCACTGACGGCAGCACAACGGCAAAGCGTTCGGCTACAGTGCAGAGAGGTCCACTTTTCCAGCAGGAACTTCAAACTCAAGAAACTCTCGCAGGGCCCATATCTTCGACGGTGCGGGAAAAAGGAAGTCCTCCGCTGTTGTGACAGGGAGACCAAGCTGCTGATAGCCGCTTGCTATCACACATTGTTCAGCAGCCAGAATAGGGCAGGAGCAAATTATGCGTTCCAGTGTTTCTTCATGACCACATCTTCGGCACACAGGATGAGCAACAACCCATGGAGTACATGCATGCTACAAGCCACAAGCTGCTGGTCCGCAGGTGAAGCAGCACCCAGTACTTGCGTCTTGCCACGCTGGTCTTCAGTAGGGGTGGCTTCACAGTCGTTGCTGAGAGTAGCCTGAGAGGGCTACAGGGTTGACGACTGAGGTGTCACTGTGGTAAGCTGCCTTGGCGACGGCGGCAGTCTCCTCGTTCCCAGCTATCCCAATGTGTGAGGGAAGCCAGTGGAAAGACAGACACACACCGCTAGCT